AGTCCGGCTGGGGCATCTGAAGCAAACGCACAGTGGAGCGCACCGGCTCGTCTCCGGGATCTCCGAGTCCCAGGCGACGGGCCGCCCGCCTCGATCCCAGGGTCTCATGTAGCCGGTATCGGCCGAGCGGCTTGTGCCAGGCTCCTGCCTCCCTTTGTGCAAAGCTTGGTGCGTCGGTTTTTCACACTTTCCGGCTCCCAGCTGCCCGGTTATCGGGAACCGCGACCAGCGCCGCAGTGTGGGTCTGTGAAACTGGACCACGCGGGTCAAGAGCGAGCCTGCTGTTGTCCCGGATCACGGAACTGATGACGGGGGGGGTGTCATCATTAACGACTTTCCAGTGTAAGATGCCGCAAATCGGTTGTCGTCCCTTCCCCGGTCGACGGAGGGCAGAGGGGAGTTTAGTTTCCGGGGTACAACGTTTTAACACGTGATCCATTCGACTTCTTGTCTTGCCCGCGCAGAGGGGGCTCGTGGGCCGCACAGGCTGCCCCAACGTCGCGTTGCTACGACCTGGTGAACCGTCGCAAGTACGGATAGCGTTTTCTGCAGGTGGCTAAAATAACCGTTCCCAAGCTCTCCTGCAAAGGCCACGCTCCCTGGTTTTTGGAGCAGGCGGCAGGGTAGCGTAGGGGTTTACATTACAGTCCAGAGACAGGCTGGTGGGTTGGTGGGCTTCTGGGAAAACTGGCCCTGGTGTGAGTGTGTCCGTGTCGGTGTCTGGGCTTGGGTATCTGCCCTGCAATAGACTGGCGTCCCGTCCAGGGCGTACCCTGCTTTTCCGCCCGGCGTTTCCCGGGATAGGCCCTGGCTCCCCCGTTACCCCGAGCTGGTTGAAGCGTTTAGGAAGCGGACGTGTGGGCAGGTGGGTTGGAAAATGGATGGTCTGTGTATCGCCCCCTGGTGGACACGGTGCTGAAACGCCTGGAAGTGAACGAGACCCCCCCTCTTGGACACGGGGGAGGGCGGGTAACTGGTCACAGGGCTGCGCATTCCCTGCCGTGCGGAAGATATCCTTCACGGATCCTCTCCTGGCTCCGGGAAGCCATCCCGTTTCGGAACCTGACGGCTCACCTTGACGGACCCGGTCGGAGGGCCCGAGGGCCAGCCGGCGGCGTGTCGGTCGTCCGTGAGTGGGGCAGGCGAAGGGCGAGCGTTCGGGGAGCTCCACCCCGAAGATCGCGGCCAGCGTGAGCGGGGGAGGGGGTCTCCTTGTCCCCCGGCTCGTCTGTCCCGCAGCAAGTGGATTGACCCCCCCCCTTCCCAACCACACAGGGTAACTCCTGACTCCTGACTCCTGACAAAGCCTCTGCAAACGAGGCTTTGTAGTATTTTGAATGAATGTTGAAAAAGAACAGTTTTAATCAGCTAGGCAGTGCGAGGTCTTTTATAGCGCAGACAGGGGCAGGAGGCAATGTAAGCACATCACAGTCACGGTATGATTAATGTGTTATTAGCAGGGCTACAGTCATTTGTAGGCCTGGAATGTAGAGCACCTCAGAGAGCTTACAAATTTCACGATTTTACTAATTCTCTCCCCCCCCATCTCCAAAGGCCTTCTTGAGTGAAATCGGCCTGTTTGCATGTGTGTGAGTACGCCTGGCCCTGTTAAGGATATTTTTCTTGTACGTCTTCTGGCTCCACAAAGTGGCCGGATCTGCGAACTCGATGAAAGATAACGATCTGGGCTCTTCTGAAGAGCGTGTTGGCGAGACCCGCAGCGAAGTGCAGAGAAGTCCCGTGACGGAAACCGTGCGAGCTATTTTCCCTGACGAAAGCCGAGCAGAAACGGCAACAGCAGCAAACGGGCTGGCGACGGGTTTGCAGCGCAGGCCCCTGCGGCTGTGGCAAGGCATTGCAAGATCAATTTCGAGACGATGTAAGGAAAGCGATCGGTGAGGCACCAGGAAACAGTGTAGCAGAGTGACAGAAGAATCGCCGGGGATCTGTCGCAAGATCGTTTCATTGATTGTTTTAAGACAGTGTAGCAAAACCGTTACAATATTCTTTTAAGACAATGACACAAAATCATTACAATATTCTTTTAAGACAATGACGCAAAATCATTACAATATTCTTTGAAGACAGTGTAGCAAAATCATTACAATATTCTTTTAAGA